CCCTCTTTCCAGAAGATCAAAGAATCGAGTCCTCCAAGAGGTCTTCTTCAATCAAGTAAAGGCCTAACATTTAATACGGGAATAAGTCATTCGACCCCCAAACTAATGTTAAAAAAATTCAAGATCAAGCCCAAAGGAGGTTCAATCGTCAAATTCATCTTTCAAGATATATATATCTAACCCAAATCCATGAAGAGGGGAATCAGAGAAGATAAATAGAGATTGTACCCGCATATCGTTTGATCGAAATATAAATTAAGTTGTACAAAATTTTTTATGTTTTTCATGAAACTTGTTGTTACAAATATAATCGTTTTTTAATAGAACAGATTCTCAAATATCTACATAAGTGCCCCTACATTAATAATACACACACATATCCAAAATAAAAAAAAATAAATAAAATAAAAAAAAAATCAAATAGAAAAAGGCCATGGAAAAAGACAAAAAGTGTAATCCGACTCAGAATTCTATTAAGCCACCATAAGCAACTTTTATGAAAACCCAATGCCATATTAGATTTTTTAATCTTCGAATATTGTTTTAAATTATATATAGTAAATACAGAAAGAATGACATTTTTAATGTCCTGTTTTAGTGTAACAACTAATTAATTATGAAATCCGAGAATAAGTCCATAATTTGAAGCTATTTAAGTATAACAAAAGGCAGAAAACAAAAGCCGCATGCTTAGATATGTAAAGTTGGATTAACTTTGTATTAAGTAGTTGTTTAATAAGTAGTTGTATTAAGTAGTTGTTTAATAAGTGGTTCAATAATGGTCTAACGATTATAAATCCCGACAAAATTGTTCCATAACGGGACTATAGCATTTCCCATTATTATTATTATTATTTTGTGATCATACTAAGAAACGAAATAAAAAACGAATTAAAGAAAAGGTGTTCGAATATCTCACGAAATAATATTTTTTAAACTTCGACAAATCACGAGACTAACATTAACACGAGATATTAGTAATATATTTTTTATTTTATTTTTTTATTGAATTTTAGACACTCTTGCCTATTCTCACTTATCTGTTTGTAAATATTAAACCACAATTGATTATTACATTTTTGAAGTTTCGAACATTATAAGATTAAAAATTAACTAGGGGCATTGTTTTCAGCACCACTCATTTTATTTTTATACAATTTATATTAATTTCTAGAATTTTTATTGCATAAAGTAACCAACAAAACTAGAAAATCATAGGCTTTACCAAAGGGCTAAATAAGAAATTAAGAACCAAAAAATTTGCAGAGGTTTTTATGGAGGGACCATTTTGAAAAAGATTTTCCCAACATATTTGAATTGCCACGTAAAAATCATACACCCATTAACATTGGTAGGTCTCAAGGAATAGAGGAAAGCAGATTGCCACGTGGAATATTTTCTTAGTTAGTAAGAAAGATTGGAAAATGACCCCACACTAATAATCTAAATTAGTATTCGATCAGGTGTATGTGCATGTACCTGTACATAAATATAAATAAATAATTATATATATGTTACATGTATGCAAATAATATGAACTAATATTATAAGTCATGTAATGGTATTATATTTAACAATTTGAACATTAGTATAAAACTATAAATAAATCGTACAAAACTATTTAATTACATATTAATTACTATATTAATTGGATAAAATATAATTAATAATGTAATTTTTTATATGTTTTTAGGGATCATAACCATAAGTAACTGAAGAGATATTAAATTTACTATTATAACATTTATTTGCTTATACGATTCTAAAGGGTTTGACTATACCATTATAATCAATTAGTTTACTTAAAAAAATTTATTTAACTATTATATGATATAATAGTTGAAAAGGTATAATTGTTACTCAATAATTATTAAATATTTTGTCATAATTACCTCTTTATACTTATAGATTGGCATGCATGTTTCTTATTTCTTATTTGTATTGATCTTATTATAGAAAAAAAACTGAAATGATAGGGATGATAAAGAATGATCAAAACTTATTTTAAAATTACTTTTATTTATTAACGGTTTATTACTCAATGAAAAAACATATTTGTGGATGAAGGTGTATCTAATTAGGAGTGTAAATGAGTCTAGTTTGAGTTTGAGCTCGAATCATTATTGAACTGAGTTGAACTCAAGTCTTGATGATTTGTTGGGACTCTGCTAACTAAACATTTTTAATTAAATGAGTTTTAATTGAGTTTAAACGAGCCTAGCCGAATCGAATCAAACTCATGACTTGAGTTTAGGGTGCTCGAGCTCTTAACAACATGTAGGCCTGTAAAAGAGTTGAGCTGAGCTCGAGTTTAGGGTGCTCGAGCTCTTAAGGAGTCGAGCCAAACTCGAGCCTTTAACGAGCCGAACTTTTGAAATCAAGCTCAAGCTCGAGCTCGACTCGTTTATTACTAATTAAGAGGCGAGTTCGAGCCTTAACGAGCAGATCATGAACTTCAACGAGTCGAACTATAGAAAATTATATAAAAATTGTGTTTTCGAGTATTATCAAGCCGAACCGAGTTCGACTCGTTAATCAAACACGCTTTAAACGAGCTCAAATTTGGCTCGTTCCTCAAACGAGCCGAGAACTAAACTCGAACTCTAACGAACTAATTAGCTCGACTCAAACCGAGCCAAACTCATTTGATTTAACAACACCAACCTCAAGCTAGTTGCCTTGCCCCAAGGCAATATCCATTCCCCATATGTATGATTACTTTTACACATACAAGTTCAATAGAAAAGCAGATTCAATTATTTGGATACCTTTTGGTGTGCATATCCATATTATTTCGTAGATATATTGCCTTGAAATAAGTGAACAAGTCCACAAAGCTCTCGTGATATAGAAAATTAGTTAGTTGAAATTGCACCACTTTAAAAAGACGTCAACTTTTTTTTTTTTTTTTTTTTGTTTATTAGCCTAATTATTGTAGTTAACGTGTTAAAATTTCATAAGATTTCGAGATTGTTGTTTAACAATTTAAAAAATATTATTAGAATATTACACAATTATATCCATGTCCTCTTTATTAAATAAAGATTATTGTAATTGAGGTTGCTTTTTTCACTGTCTTTTCCCTTCAATAGAAGCATAATAATTATTCTAATCCAAATTAAGAAGTACATTAATTTATGATGCTGCATAACCTCCAGCTGGAGAGTTCTATTATGGGGGAACTGGATGTGCCCAATAAAAACGAAATATAACGAAACTAAAAAATAGAAGCATAAGATATTTTAAAATGAAAATATGACCAAATATAATATTTTTTTTTTAAGATAAGAAGTCTCAAGGGTTACAAACAAGTAGACCGGATGGCTAGTGCTCGGGCTCGAGCTCCAGCATCTTAAATTGTAAGTTGGAGTTTTCAACGAGCAAATATACCCCTAAATAGACATTATTTATAATTGAAATTTCAAGTTCATCACGAGCATTTGCATTTTATTATCGACTCTAATTAACTTAGCCTATCATTGTTTGGCTCCTCAACCCTCGAACAGCACCCAAAAAAAATGAACCAACCTCAATAAGAACAATGTTCAACTCAGTTCAGTTTCAGCTCTTATGCACCCGTGATCATATCTGTAATTTCAAGTTGTAACATACAAAAGGTCTCAAACTTGAACTCAAGTCGAGTAGTTTTTCGTAACTTGATTAATTTGTTCGGAGTCTTCGGACTCTAATGTTTGTGGCTGAACACTTTTTAAAGTCGGTGTTCGACAGATTTAACAGCTAAGCAATCATACATTGCTATACTTTAAAATTAATAATATCATATTATAAAATAGTTGGATTATAGACTTACCGAGCATATCTTTTTTTTTTTTTTTCGAATTCAAATATATCGTGAATACTTCTACTTGTACATAAAAATTGTACAATAGGTCCACTCATACAAATATTTTGTTAGTTTTTAATTACTAAAGATGCACTTGACACGAGTTCCTCACACTTTGCTTAATATATTAACCACTCACCAAAAAGACACTGGTCCCCTAATCAAAGTTAAAAGAAAAAATAGGCAACCAATCAGGGTTGACTCAATTGGTAAGTAGTTTGATGTCGCTTAAAAAAGGTCTCTAGTTCGAGTCCTTATGGATGCAGAAAATCCTTGTTGGGAGACTCACCCACTACTGCCAGGTAGCACTGTCAAATGGGCCAGTGGCCCGCGGGCTGGCCCGCCCGCCCGCTTAAACGGACGGGCTTGGGCCTTTGCTTGGCCAGCCCGTTCAATCGCGGGCCTATTTGGCCCGCCTTGTTTGG